GTTGCATTGCACTGCACTGCACTGCGTTGCATCGTACTGTGCTGCATTGCACTGGGTTACACCAGGTTGCATTGTGCTGCACCGGGTTGCACCACGTTATGCCACGCTGCTGAGACCTTGGCACCATCCCTCCCATCCCACCTGGACGGAAGGGAGGGAAGCTCACCTGCCTCCTTTGCACTGCCTCCTTTGAAGCCAGGGTGGTGCTTGGTGCCTCCATCCCGCTCTGGGGGTGCATTTTGCCCCCTTGTTTTGGAGGGGGGACCCCAGTGCCACCACCTCCCCCAGGTTGGCTATATTTTGGTGACAGAAGAGTCTTTGAAAGGACACGATGCAGTGACAAAGGGACTGTTTGGTACCTAATAGGACATCCTGCCATCCCGCCCCATCCCAAGGAGGGGATGTCCCTCCTATTCATGTCCCCAGGAGGGGTCTCGCCCACCCGCTAACCCCGGCCCTGCCTTTGCCCTTGCAGCAGGACGGGGCCTCGAGAGGCGGTGGCAGCAGCAGCGGCGCCCGCGAGCGGCTCCTGGCAGAGGCGCCGCTGCCGCAGGAGAAGCCCGGCGGCCCCGCGGTGCCCGCGCACCTCCTGGGCACCCCGTACTCCTTCGGGCTGCCGCCCAGCTCCGTGGTGCCCGACTCCCGCTTCCCGCCGCTCAAGTGAGTCCGTGGGGACACAGGGCGGTGGAATGGGGGGCACCCTCGGGGGTCCCATTCCGGGTGCTGGCCCCGCTGGATGCATCCCCGGGCACTGCCCAGCACCCCTGTGYGTGCCGGGGTGGACGTGCCGGGGCCGTCACCTCCTCGTCCCTTGCAGCCTGCAGCGGCCCGTGCACCACGTGGTGCCCCCGAGCGCCGTCACCGAGGACTATCTGCGCAGCTTCCGTCCCTACCACACGGCCGAGGAGCTGCGCGTGTCCTCGCTGCCGCCCCTCAGCCTCGACCCGGCCGCCGCCGCCGCCTACTACCACCCCAGCTACCTGGCGCATCACCCCTTCCCGCACCCGGCCTTCAGGTAGGCGAGCGGCGCCGGGGCTCAGCCCCACGCTGCGAGGTGCCTTTGCATCCCGGTGCATCCCTTCCCGGTGCATCCCTTCCCGGTGCACTCATTCCCGGGTGTATCCCTTCCTTGGTGTATCCCTTCCTGGCGCATCCCTTCCTGGCGCATCCCTTCCTGGGTGCATCCCTTCCAGGTGCATCCCTTCCTGGGTATATTCCTTCCCAGTGCATCCGTCCCTTGTGCATCCCTTCCAGGTTTATCCCTTCTTTGTGCATCCCTTCCCGATGCATGCCTTCCTGGGTTCATCCCTTCCTGGTTTATCCCATCCTCGTGCATCCCTTCCCGATCCATCCCTTCCCGAGTGCATCCCCTCCCCGTGCTCCCTTTCCCGGCGCATCCCGCCGACACTCCGTGCTCCCGCAGGATGGACGACTCGTACTGCCTCTCGGCGCTGCGCTCGCCCTTCTACCCGCTGCCGGCGCCGGGCTCGCTGCCGCCGCTGCACCCCTCGGCCATGCACCTGCACCTCTCCGGCGTGCGCTACCCGCCCGAGCTGGCGCACTCCTCGCTCTCGGCGCTGCAGTCGGAGCGCATGTCCAGCCTGGCCGCYGAGAGGTGAGGGCCACGGAGCGGGGATGGAGTGGGAACGGAGCGAGGACGGAGCAGGGATGATGTGGGGATGGAGTGGGGACAGAGTGGGGATGGTGCGGGAATGATGCAAGGACAGAGTGGGGATGGCGTGAGGACAGAGCAGGGATGGAGCGGGGATGGAGTGGGGACAGAGCGGGGATGGTGCAGGAATGATGCAAGGACAGGGTGGGGATGGAGTGGGGACAGAGCAGGGATGGAGCGGGGATGGAGTGGGGATGATGCGGGGATGGAGCGGGGATGATGCGGGGATGGAGCAGGATTGGAGTGGGGATGATGCGAGATGGAGTGGGCACGGAATGGGGATGGAGTGGGGATGGAGCGGGAATGATGCGAGGACAGAGTGAGGATGGCATGAGGATGGAGCAGGGATGGAGCAGGGATGATGTGGGGATGGAGTGGGCACGGAACGGGGGCGGAGTGGGGATGGAGCGGGAATGATGTGAGGACAGAGCAAGGATGGCATGAGGATGGAGCAGGGATGGAGTGGGGATGATGCGGGGATGGAGTGGGGATGATGCGGGGATGGAGCAGGGATGGAGTGGTGATGATGCGAGATGGAGTGGGCATGGAATGGGGACGGAATGGGGATGGAGTGGGAATGATGCGAGGACAGAGCAAGGATGGCATGAGGACGGAGCAGGGATGGAGTGGGGATGATGCGGGGATGGAGCGGGGATGAAGTGGGCACGGAACGGGGACGGAGTGGGGATGGAGCGAGAATGATGCGAGGACGGAGCAGGGACAGAGCAGGGACGCAGCAGGGATGATGCAGGGACGGGGCAGGGACGCAGCAGGGACGAGAGTCCTGGCACAGCAGGGGCTAACGCGGCCGCCGCATCCCGCTCGCAGGCTGCACCTGGACGAGGAGCTGCGGCAGAGGGAGCGCGAGCGGGAGAAGGAGCGGGAGCGCGAAGCCGACCGCGAGCGCGAGAAGGAGCGCGAGAAGGAGCTGGAGCGCGAGCGGGAGAAGGAGCGCGAGCTGGAGCGGCAGCGGGAGCGCGCCCGCGAGAAGGAGCTGGCCATGGCCAAGGCCATGGAGGCGCCGTTCCTGCCCGTGGCCGAGCTGCACGGGCTGCGGGCGCACGCGCCCGAGGAGCGCGCCAAGCCGCCCGAGCCGCTGCCGCCCGCCAGAGCAGGTACCGTCCCGCTGCGTCGGGGCGCTCGGGGGCGTCGTGGAGCCTCCGCGGGCTCCCCCGGGGACGCCCCGTCACCCCGTGCCCCCTCACCCCGTGCAGAGAAGCTCAAGGAGCCGGTGCTGCCGCCGCCGAAGCCCCTGCAGCACCCGCTGCACCCGCCGCCGGGCGCCCCGCACGCCGTGCCCGGCCTCATCCCCAACCACAGCGTGTTCCCGCTGCCCGGCAGCAGCGCGGCCACCGCGCTGCTCATCCACCGCACCAACGAGGAGGAGAAGTGGCTGGCGCGGCAGCGGCGCCTGCGCCAGGAGAAGGAGGACCGGCAGTCGCAGGTGTCCGAGTTCCGGCAGCAGGTGCTCGAGCAGCACCTCGACATGGGCCGCGAGCCCGAGCACCGCCTGGAAAACGCCAGGTAGGGACCCAGGCGGCGGGCGGGCGCGCGCGGCGCGTCCCTCGGGATGGCTCCCTTGGATTGACAGCGGCTTTCCCRCTGGGGCGCTTAGCGCTGGCTCATCCGCGGCCGCCGGCTCCCCTTGTGGTTTGCGGGTATCAGGGGGATTAGCGCGGCTAAGCGGCCCTAAGAAGGAGCGGATTGCGGGGCGGCACAAAGGCGAGCGCCCGCGCCGAGCTGCTCATCCCTCCCCAAAGCGCCGGCGAGAGGCCAAGGTCACCCCGGCTGTGCGCCGCAGCGGGGAGCAGGGTTCCCGCCCACCGGAGCATGGAATCTCCGGGAAAGGGGCTCGCTCCGTGTCGGAGACGGCAACTCCGGTGCGCCGGGGTGGTGGTGGCAGGGGCACCCGGGCGGAAAAGCGCTAAGCGCCACTTCTCCGCATGGAATATTGATCCCGCTGATGGCCTCGCTCCTGACCCCGGGAGCCGTGGCGCTCGCGAGATGCTCCCGATGGATGAGCCGCTTCCTCCCCAAATGCTCCCCGTGCTGCCAGCCCCGGCTGGGCGGGGGTCCCTTGCGACACGGGGGGCATTTTGAGGGTATTTTGGGGTTGTTCGGGGGTGTTTGGGGGTGCTTGAGGATGTTGGGCGATGTTTGGGGGTGTTTGGGGGCATTTTGGAGATGTTTGGGGGCATTTTAGGGGCATTTTGGGGGTGTTTTAGGACATTTTGGGGGTGTTTTGTAGGTGTTTTGGGGCATTTTAGGGGTGTTTTGCTGCGCGCTCAGCCCCTGCGCGTTTCTCGGCAGGTCGGGCGCGAGCCGGCACGAGGCGGGCGCGCGGGAGCCGCCGGCGCCGTTCGGGGGGCCGCCGCCGCTCATCTCGCCCAAGGCCACGCACCACCCCATGGCGGCGGCGCTCTGGAACCCCGTGTCCCTGCTGGAGAGCGCGCCGGAGCCGCGGCGCCTGGGCGAGCCGCACGGCGCCGCGGCGCCCTTCGAGCGCGCCGCCCAGCCCATCCCCATGGTCAAGGTGGAGCGCGTCTTCTGCGCCGAGAAGCTGGAGGACGGGCCCAGGAAGCGGGACGAGAAGTTCCCGGCGGCGCGGGAGCCCGCGGGCGCCGAACCCGCCGCCTTCGCCCACGCGCCCTTCCTGGCCGAGCTGGAGAAGTCGGCGCAGAGCATCCTGAGCCAGCAGCGAGCGCCCGCGGCGCCCTTCGGAGAGGCCGCCAAGCCCGGCTCGCCCTACCGGCCGCCGCCGCCCCGCGCCCCCGACCCCATGTACGTGTACGACGAGTTCGTGCAGCAGCACCGCAAGCTCGTCAGCAAGCTCGACCTGGAGGAGCGGCGGCGGCGGGAGGCCCGCGAGAAAGGTGCGTGCCGATGGCTCCTGCGGGAGGCTCCTTGCGTGGCATGCTCGCGGTGGCCAAATTGCATGCAGCGAGGTTGTTGCATGGGGTGCTTACTGCATCCAGCTTGTTGCACAGGGCTCTTGCTGCAGCGAGGTCGTTGCATGG